TTCTCCCTCTCTGTAATTTTAAATAGAGGAAAATTCCAGTATTCTATGCCAATGATCATTATTAATGCGTATTATCCACTTATTGAAATGTATTCCTATTCACTGACAACTGAACACGACGCACACGTGGCTAAACCCGCAAAGCTACCCCCGAAATTCCTGCGCTTTTCCTTAATTAAGGAAAACACGAAGAGAAACATTGGCTCGGTGAATTTAAATGCTAATTATCGTAATTCGGTAATTTATACATGAAAGGCGGCGCCGGCATGTTTTACAGGGAGACGAACGACGTGCCTGGCATCCGATCTATGCGCATTACTACGGTCTGGGGACCAGGGCAGTTACGTACACATGAGTTGAAATGAAGAATGCATGCCTTACACGGGGATCGTGTAAAAAAAGTCACTGGTGACCAGAAAAGCAGTATGATAAATGACAAATGACATAGCATGAATAACTTGTATTATAACGCTAATTACGGTGCAGGATCAAAGATTGCCCGCTGCAGTGGCAGCAATTAACGCATCGGCCCGTTATTGCCTTCGTCTCCCTATAAGCATGCACCCATACCCAAAAATGCACTTTGAAGCTTGGATAGATATTTTAAAAATTAAACCATTAACATTATTCTTCCTATTCAACTAAATTAGTGTACTGTATTGAATTTAGTTTAGCAGCCTTTAGTTGTACTTCTCATTTTAAAATAAGGAAATTGGAAAATATAAATAAAAAGCTTGCTTTCGATACAATGCCATTTTTTAGACTACTTATCCAATCAGTTAATTATTTATCAGACCGTAGCTTTAGTAGTTGTGGTTCTATTATGAAAATGCTACTATGGGCATTTAAGAGGTTTTACAGCCATTGCTACTTTTACATAAAATCGTTCAAATGCGACAAAATCAGCCTTTGGTGGTATACTTTATTTGGCATCGTCTTTATTCGTAATATTAGCAAAAACAAACATACTCGCAGAAAAAGGTTAAACTAATCCATCAGTAATTCACTGCTAAACCAGAGCATCTAGTAGCTGTAAATGCTCTGCCTAAACTTTCAGTGCTGAAATAATTACAGGAATACCAGAAAGCCATACAACTTCCCAAAACACCAGTTGATAATACGACGAGACTGCTAACTGTAGCATTAGATGTGTTGAAAAAAGCAGAAAAACATCTTTGAAAGCCTGAAAACTCAGTTAGCTTGTTTGGTTTGGCCCATTTCCCAGACATGCATTTAAATAGGCGCACAGATGGTCAAAGTAGATTTTTTGGCAATTTTAATGACTGGAAAGAGTGACTTGATTTGATGTTTTTCATATTACTCACAGATGTCAACATTCATTTACAACTCCAGTAATAATCTGACACCAGCTGTATATGAAAATGAATCGGGGGTCATAGACACTTTTTCTTATTAAGAAGGAAGTGAGCAGTATGAAAGAAAAAGCTGGACAAGTTCCCACGTGGTACAGGTACAGGTGACGGTATCTATTGTTCATGACACGTGTGCGCCCCCTGTCGGTGAGGCGTCTTTTCCCCTCTGAAGTTAATTATGTTCTCTTAGCACCCTCTGCTGTTCGTTGCTCAGATTTTCATCTTTTGCTTAAACTGGCAATGAAAGTCTTTAGGAGACCGGAGAAGACATTCCTCATCTTGCATTGATTGCATACTACACATGAAAATATCTACCTGATTTACACACGAAAAACTTCTGATCAATTTCATTAAATATTTAGATGATATATGACGACACAACTATAGGCGTTTCTTCTTAACTGCTATTAAGTATTATATGGGTGAAAAAAATTCGTAGTGTTAGAGTACCACGTTCGTCTAATGTACCACCAGGGGGCACTGCGAGTGCAGTTTGATATCCACTGTTCTACATTATTATGGAGCCGCAGGGAACCTGTCTGGTGGCCTTTAGCCTTTAAATAGCGTCAGACAAACACTTCAAGTCTTCATGAAAAACAATATTCTTACAATGTATGCTTTTCACTTTAAATGGCAAGACTTAATAACCAGAAAAAAAATAACAAGACAAAAATTTAATATAAAAAATCACAAAAGTAGGGAATCACGCAGTACAATGGTAAGTAAGGAAAGGTCATAGTGCTTTATAGAGTCACCTCACCCGAAGGGATTTTGTCTTTGCGGTTTACGTAATTTTATATAAAGGCCACTAGATGTCAGTATTTCTGTGTCTTAACTGAATATAGATAAAATTGACACAGTATGCTTGACTTTCCATCCACCCATCTATGCATCCATCCAAACATCCATCTTCTGACAGCTTATCTGAGTCAGAGTTTGGGACCTACAGCCCAGGGCACAGGAATACACCCTGGGTGAGATGCCAGTTCAATGCATCTGGATTTTAGCGAATTTTCCATGGGCAAAGAATTAAAATTCTCATATTATGGCCATTTTTGTTAAACATGTTTCTTTTTATTAACCTTACCCCACACATTAATAATTACGGTAATGCATTAATGCCCTTGCCTGGATTAGAAAAGAAAGTAATACTACCTTTTCAAGTCTTTCACAAATCTGAGCTTTACCCTTGTCGACTTGGCGTTCCACAGCTCCAGATGAACATGGTGATCCAAGGCTCCAAATGAAGCACGCAGTTCCATACTTCCAGAAGCAGTACATAAGCTTCAGATGAACCATGGTAATCTGGAGTTCCACCATAATGACCCAGAGGTCAGAAGGCCCATGATCTCAATACGATCCTTTGGGATGACATACCAGATAGGGCACAGTAAACATCCCACATCCATTTTCTGTTGATTATCTAGTTGGGGATTGAAGTCTCAGCAAGTGCTTTTACTCCATGTAGGTTGTATGATGTCGTCTTAAACTATCGACATACTATCAGACTCATCACAGAAGTAAATAACCACATATAATAAAAATATTTCAATTCCAAAATCTCATAAGAAAACCTGGACATAACTACATACAAACTGTATATAAAGAGAAGAGGAAGAAATCCCCTAATTTGGCACTATGCATTAAATTTATTAATTAAATAACTTTTTCTGTTTTAAAAATATTGAATGCATGTCCTCCATCTTGGGTTGTTCCCTGCCTTGTGCCCATAGACTCCGGACCCCCGTGGCCCGGAATGGGACAAGCAATTACAGAAAATGGATGGATGGATGGATGGATGTTTTAAAGCACAGATAAAGTTTAAGAAGCCACTTATCATGTTAGCGAATTCTTTTAGGGCATTTGGCAGGGTTTTAAAATATATATTTTTGTTTAATTTGAATGTTTCAGGTGTTGCGGGATGGACTCCCCCAGTAAATACTATGGTGTCCCATGAATGGAAGTTATTATAACCATAGGAGAACATTTACACCTAACATCACATCAAGCCATCTTCCATATCCTTTCATATAATGCAGGTGGTGGCGATCAAAGGGAGATGCACACACAGGCCTGCACACACACACACACACACACACAGGCCTGCACACACAAGTGCACACACACACAGGCCTGCATGGACACTCACACACACACAGGCCTGCACGCACATGCACACACACACAGGCCTGCATGCACACACACACAGGCCTGCACATGCACACACACACACAGGCCTGCACGCACACACACACACACACAGGCCTGCACGCACACACAGGCCTGCACATGCACGCACACACAGGCCTGCACGCACATGCACACACACACAGGCCTGCACGCACACACAGGCCTGCACGCACATGCACACACACACAGGCCTGC